TCCGTCAGATGATCTTTCTGAAATTTAGTCTTGACAATCATATCATCAATATATGCCTCGACGTTTCTCCCAATCTGATCAAAGAACACTGTATTTATCATTCGTTGGAAGGTAGCCGGGGCATTCTTAAGACCAAACGGCATGACCGTGTAACAGTATAATCCCTGATCTGTGACGAAGGCCGTCTTCTCCTGATCCTTCTTCCATAAAGGAATTTGATGAAAACCAGAATAGGCGTCCATAAAACTCATCAAGGCATGGCCGGCTGTTGAGTCGACCAGGTTATCAATTTTAGGCAGAGGGTAACTGTCTTTGGGGCACGCCTTGTTCAAGTCTGTGTAGTCTACACACATTCGCCAGGTGCCATTCGGCTTTTTAACAAGCACCACATTTGCAACCCAATCTGGGAAGTAACATTGCCGAATGAACCCTGCATCAAGTAATTTTTTGACTTCGGCGGCTGCCGCCTGACTTCTTTCTTCACCATGGTTCCGCTTCTTTTGCCGTACCGGCTTCTTTTTCGGATCCACAGCGAGTTTATGTACTGCCAGATCAGGACTAATGCCTGGCATTTCATGGACTTCAAATGCAAAGATGTCCTTGTATTCTTTCAACAGGTTGTGAAAGTCATCACCAAGGTTTCTCAGAGCAGTCGTCCCAACTTTGACTGTTCGGTCAGGACGAGAGTCGTCTAATATCAGGTCCGCATGCTCACCAGCCGGCTGAGGGCGGAACTCATCCGGCCGGTCCTCTGCCAATGATTGCTATTTTCTTGCTTTTCTTGCGGACTCTGTCTGGGGCGCCTTTCTCTTTTTGTCGCCTGTTTCTTGAACAGGCGCACTCTCCTTGACGTTGTCAAGGTCTGTTTTTTCTCCACTTGACCCAGTGGCCATAACAGTGGGCTTGACATCCGAGAGATAGCACTCTCGGGCCATCCTCTGATCTCCCCTTAGGGAGCCGACTGTTCCATTATCCCTTTCAAACTTAAGCAGCATAAGTGACGGGATTATAACAGCCTTGGAATTATTCAGGGTTGGTCGACCCAGAATCATGTTGTAGGCCGAGAGTTCCTCTACTACTAGGAATCGGACTACCATGTGTCGTCCTTCCCCTTTTTCGCCCAGGCGAATGGGTAAATCTACTCGTCCCAGTGGGTGGACGACTCCTCCTCCAAAACCTATTAAAGGGTGGGAGGCCGGATGTATGCAGTCCGTCTGATATTTCAGTTTTGACAGACATTTGCTGCTGATGAGATCTGAGGAGCTCCCTGTATCTATAAGAATTCGGCCAACTCTCTGGTTGGCCACTTTACATTCAATAACGAGAGGGTCGTCATGCGGCCCCCTTATTCCTCCTAGATCCTCTTCAGTGATGACAATCTCAGGAAATGTATATTTGGACGGCTGTTCTTAGTGAACGGAATTTACATCTAACCGCCTTATATTATCTTTGTTGCCCCTAATAGTGGGGCCGCCTCCTGAGAAGCCGCCTGCAATAGTGTAGACGACTGCATCATCTGTATCGGAACTGTCGGCCTGTTGATTCTTTTTGGCCGACTGCTTTTTTGAGGAAGTGTTCCCCGTAGATTTCTTGACATAAGTGTCAAGATCACCTTGATCAGCCAAGCGGTCTAGGTACCGCATGAGACTGATGCAGTCATTGGTGTGATGCCCAACGTCATCATGATAAGCACATATTTTGTCTTGGTTCCGGTTGCTCACAGAACCCTTCATGGGGAGCGGCTTTTCAATTGAGAGCCGTCCCTTTATTTCTTTTAGGATAAACTGGTTATCCTTGTTAAACACATACTTCGGGGAGTATGGTTTGAATTCTTTTTTCTTTTTCTGAGTCGGCTGTTTAGAGGAATCAGCCGCCCAGACCTCTTTTCTTTTCTCATCTTTGTTGGACGACTGTTTCTGTCGTCCCTCTCTTTTGTCGAACCTCTTCCCGTCCGACTGTTTCATCGTACACAGATCAGTTGCCTGTATATAGGCTTCTGCTTCAATCAAGGCCTCTTGAAGAGTCGCCACCCTTTTTCGAACTAAATCAAATTTGAAGGTAGACCCGTCTTTGAGACCTCTAAAAAAGTCAGTATAAGCTACCTCATCCGGTAACCCTTGAATTTGTATTCTCATCAGGTTGAACCGCCTGATGTAGGAACGAAGCCCCTCCTTTTCACCCTGCTGAATTGTTCCCAAATCAAGGGTCGTTTTCTTCGCAGGGATGTTCATAGCGAAGTTGGAGGCAAATAAGTAAGCAAGCGTCCTGAAGTTGTTTACACAACCAGTCGGCAGGTTGCCGAACCATTGCTGTGCAATTCCCTTGAGGGTCGCTGGGAAACACTTGCACCAGGTGGGATCATCCAACCCTTGAAGGTACATCAGGTTGGTGAATGCCATCAGATGGTCTTCTGGGTTAGTAGTGCCGTCATAGGCGCCTACTAGAACATTTTTTACTTTGGCCGGCTGAGCGGCTTCAGTAATTTCCTTGGAGAAGGCCGACGGCTGTTCACCAAGTCTAAACAGCCGTAGCTGCCAGTCCATAGGTTGGACGTTTTTTGCTGCAGGTCCACCAAATGGAGGTGGCTGCATAAAATACTGTTGTTGCGGCACAAATGGTAAGTTTGGTACCGCCTGGGCACTATGAAAGCCGGACTGACGGGAGGTGCCGCCTGACTGACTCTCATGGTACGACTGAGTAGGCCTCATCGAGGCATTTCGCAAACTGTCCTGAAAATTTGAAGTAGAAGCCGACTCTGATAATCGGTCACTCTTCTTCTGCTCTAGCAGGTGCCGAGCATCTGTGAACGTTTGCTTTGACCCGTCCGCCTGAATATGACGAACCGGTTTCCTATTTCCCGTAGGATAACGGAGTTTTGTGAAATCAAGAGCAGATGGCTCCCGCTTCTTGGATTTAGGATGGGGAGTCGCCTCTCGCCCTTGAACTGGCTTCCTCTTCAGTGAAGTGGAAGGTTTCTTGGCCGACTGCTCTTTGACTGAAGCAGGCGGTTTTTTGTTGATCAACTCTTGGATCTCTCCCTTGAAGTCCCTCATGAAGGTTATGAGTTCGTTCCTTGTGATGGGAGCAGACCCATCAGTCGGCTGTTGCCGAGCAAGCGGTGCGCCTGCTGGCTCGCTTCCTGTTTGAAGATACTCCCGTTCCCTCATTTCGGTATGACGGGTACGTCGGGCCCTTAGGGTCCCGTCTGGAGCTGTATGAGTTTCAACTTCAAATTCACTTTCGGTATCATGGTCCGACTGAACTTGAGGGTCGTCTAGGGGACGCCTCTCTTCTGGAGTCGGTACAGACTTGGATGCCATCTCTGAAGTACTCTCCCCACAGACGGCGCCAAATGTTTCGGGGTTTTCTGATGTCCTGCGGGAGAGTTACAATTCCGAGACTGGAACCGGACGCCTCTACCTGCAAAATAACGGAGACTCCTGAGAGCTCCGCCTCCAACGGTCAAGTTAGTACCTGATTAAGGAGTAATTAATACAGAAATTAAAGTAATGAGATCTCTCTAGGTGAGAGTGCTTAGTGTTGGTAATCTGCGTCGTTAGCGAGATTAGCCGGTTGTTAATAACTCTGTTCTTCTCTGCTTGATCTCTTGATTATTCGATTCTTTTCTGTTGTGTGATTAATGAGGATTAATCGAGTATTTATAGCCTTGAGAAGCGTGCAACTCTCTAGGTTTAAGGTAAACCTAGGGCTGATCGGGCCTCTAGACTGAATTGGGCCTTGATGGCCGGTTGTCCCATTTGGCATGGGTGGACACGTGGCGTGTCTATAGTGGTCCGTAGAGGACATATCTGTGACTGACACGTGGCAGGCTCCTGTTGTCCTTCGTGAAGGACACGTGGCGGAACCTGGTTGGTCCACTTGTCAGAAGGTGATTGGTGGATAAAAACCCCCTAATCAATAATAACAACACATTAATTACAATCCCACTAACAACAATAAAAACAATATTAATAGTAATAATTACACCACTAATTATTATAATAACAACAACTACAATTACACTATTAATAATAATAATAATAATAATAATAATAATAATCTTAATACTAATAATAACAATAATAATAATAGTAATAATAATAATAATAGTAATAATAGTAATAATTGTAATAATAATAATAATAAGAATAGTAATAATAATAATAATAATAATAATAATAATAATAATAATACTAATAATAATAATAACAATAATAATACTAATAACAATAACAATAACAATAACAGCATTAACAATAACAGTAAAAATATCAAAAAAATAAACCAAAACAAAACAAATCTGGTTCATTGCACATCCGCCTAAAAATTCCGGAACATTCAAGGAGGATCCGCCTGAAATTTCCGGATCCTCCTTGAAAGATCCGGATATTCTAGGCGGATATTCCATATTTTCATGCCTGGCCAATATTGATCACCTCTACAAATTAGCTTTTCATGTTACATAATACTTAAAACTAATCTTTGTAGGTAGTTTGTGCCCTAATAGTAAGAAACTAGCTTGTACTTTAAGTATGTCTTAATTTCTTAATTATAGCTTTATAAATTTAATTTTATTTATAAATTAACCCCTCTTTTTGACAAGTTTTTTTTTTTTTTTTAAATCTCTCCTTCTTAAAAATCTAGATTTAAACCTCTGCGTTGCACGATTTGCTCGTATTTTTGTAATATCAAAGATTTTCATGCATTTGTATGATAAAGTTTATAATTTTATTTATTATATAAATTTTTTATCATGAAATAAATCAATTATAATCCTACGTGGTGCTCTAATAATTTTTTAAAAAATAATAATCCTATGTGGCACTCTAAAATCTCAGGGAAAAAAAAAAAAAACTTTCCTCTAATAGAATAGTTTGGTGTCCTAGGCGATACCTGGGTTGTTTAGTAACACTTTATTAAGATAAACATTTTCATTAGTATGCGAAATTTTAAACCACAGCATGACCATTCCAATTACTCTATGGTTCAATCTTCTAAACCGATTCAAACAGAACTGCAATGTCCGAATTAGTACCACTACTGACTGACATTATGATTGACAATCTTTCTCAACAATTAATTCCAAAATTTCCTTTCCCTCACTCAACTGGCATCCAGTAGTGACTACTTGACTTGGTATGAATCCCCAGCTTGAATACCTTTCCATTCTGTAAATATTAGCCATCAAGCCATGCATGTCGTTTGAATACATCAATGAAAACTTTCCCAAAGTGCATTTTGTTGTATCATAATTTATTTCAATTTGAAACTCGAAAGAAGAGATAGTATCTTGTTCAATTTCTTGAAATTAATCCCCAATTCATTTGTGGAATATCAAATTCACAGATAAATATAAGAAAATCTACAAAATGAGCCAACAATACCCATTTCATTTCAACAATAGAGCATTAAAAACGCCCTACAAATGTTTCTTCAGTTTGGTGAACGTGCAGAAAAACAAGTGTCCATTTCTCCAAAGGACGAAACCCATAAAAGCAGAGCACCTTCATTGAATTATTTCTAACTTATAGCACACTTGTGCCCTTAAAGCTACAAGATGCTACTATGTTATCCAAATTCTTTTCCTATTTCTGTAAATTATGCAGGATCCCTCAAAATTTGTAGACCATTTCTTTTGTATATCCAAGTTCCTTGAGTATTCCACTTACCTGCAAAATAGGAAACCGGTGCAACGAATCAATAATGATGAATTAAGTCAACACCAAATAGGAATACTGATGTGGGTTATCATAGAAAGTTAGCAACATCATGCGAGAAGCCACCTTAGGCAGCTCAATCATATACTCATTCCGCCCCCAAAATATAGGGTACAAATCTATATTAGGTCATCTCAAAGTGAAAATCCAATAAATGATACTGGTAGATAGTTATGGTATATTTTCTATATTATTTACTCTAAAAATGCACCCTATTAGCTAAGGATGGAGGGATTAGAAGTCTGAAGTAAGTCTTAAGACTGTAGTTTAGGTTCGTAAATGTTTAAGCCATTAATGTAGCAACATAAGTGTTTTTAGTACCTCTCCTTGAGAGTAATCTTTAGCCTTGTCTCCAGATATTTTTTGCATCATACCAGGAGGACCACATACCTGGAAATCAAAGAACAGATGAAAATTTGAACACTTGAGAGAGAAATTACTAACATGCTTAGGAACAAAGGCTTCAATTCACCTTATGTAGACGAAAATTCACAAACCATTGACTAATAGTTGAAAGAGCTATGTTTATCTTACCATGATGAGAGTATCGTCCCCAGGACCAGGTAAGCCTTTTGTGACAACATCCTTTGAGACATAGCCTACCCCGCCTCTCCAGTCCTTTGATGGATTGTCAACAGTGTAGAATACCTATATATTTTTCATTGAAACCTTCAGCATCCCAATTTGTCATACTTGATGACAGAATTTGGTCAGTAATCAAACAACAGTACCTTAAAATTAGGGTGGCTAGTGGCAAGTATGTCAAGCTTTTGCTTCAGTAAAATATCATCAGGAGAGACATTTGCATAGACCAGTGATACCTGTAAGATCAATTGATAGCTAATAACTATAAAAAACCAGATTCATAATACTCGTTTTTTTTTTTTTGACAATATTATAAAATTATTAGCCCTTTTTTCAAGTAAAGCCCCATACAAAGGAATGCTGAAACAGATTTTATACATGGTACCAAAGAAAAAGGGTAGCTAACTTGAGTTTTATCATCTGGATTCTTCAGGATAGCCTCAGCTACTTGAAGCATTGGAGTGACACCTGTCCCACCAGCAATCTGTTGCCAATTACAAGTACACAAAACATCAACCCACACAATACTTTTAAGCATAGAGCATAGTTTACAACATTTACATAAAAGGCAAACTCCTGAGTCCTCTATCGTCGGGTGGTATAAGCAATTAGATAAATAGATACTCCCTCCGTAAATATATGGGTAAAATTTTTAGAACTTTGACTGTGAATACTCGTAAATCTATAAGTGATAATATGTTGATGTGAGATCTTGTTAGAAATGTTTTATTGTATATTTTATTGTTTTTATAACTTTTACGCGTATAAAAATGGAGATATATACGTTTGAACACGCGCCTTAGAGACCGTTAAAAGTCAAATGGGCAAAAAATATGGGATTGAGGGAGTAGAATTTTCAAAGGAAACAATGACACTGACCAAACACATGGTCTTGCATAAATATATAAGCCCCCACTTCCTGCGATGGCCAATTCATTTAAGACATCTAATATAAATATTATATATTGAAGCCTTGAAGGCAAGGACCAGAGGCTCAATATTGGAGAGTTCACAACAACCAGGACCCACCAACGCTGGTGAAAACCCTGGTCTCGATTGGTGTCACGATAGTACAGGCTGAATATGTAGATAATAAGGCTATCTTCACAACCAGGACCACCTCCCAAACTTTTAAGAGTTAGTACTCAGGCAAATCATCAGTTATATACAAATCGAGTTTCCAATAACATTCAGACGATGCCATAGGCACATACTTCAGTTAAATTTAACAATTTTTAACATTCATACTTCAGTTAAATTTAAATCATGTAAGAGTCTGCCTACTGGGTTCTTTTCTGGCTTAACTATTTTTAACTCTTATTGTCTTATATATAAATTATCACACACTGGAAATAGCATTCACAGGCAAATAGCAATCATGATTCAGGAGCCAGTGTCACTTTTTATTAAGGAGATGAACAGGACGGAAAAACTATAAAGATCTCATTCACTACCCTTTCAGACTTGGCCTGGCCTGCTCACCCTATTAATAAGTTCAGTATGCGAATTAAAAGGTATGATAGAGGCCTTGAACTTTTCATCTCATAAGAATAATTCACAGAAAAATAGGAACTAATAAGTTCATGTCACAACTATAAATAATGAGGAGTTTTCAAGTAGAGAGGATAAAGCCAAAGTTAACTACTAGTAATATTTTCTCATTTGAAACCCTATGTCAGATCTAACAAATTCTCAAAAAGGATATCACATTCCAAGCCGATGTGTTTCTTACCATGCCGATGTGTTTCTTCATGTTGGGAGTATACATGAGCTTCTCAATGGGTCTGCACAAGAATTCAAATAAGCAACTTGATCAATAACTGCACTAAAATCCTAAACAGCACTAAAGGCGGAGGAGCTTACCCTTTGACTTCTACAACATCACCAGGTTTGAGTTTTGCAAAATGCTGGCTCATCTTACCTTCTGGATATATCTGTTTTTGAACAGAGTGGTTAGCTAAAACTAAAAAAATGAAATGTGGAAATAAGTCTACAATAAAAGTTGACGGACCTTGATCATCAAATCAAAGTACCCCTTGGAATCGGGATCAGAAATGGGAGTGTACCTGAAAACAATTTGCATATAAATCAGGAATACAAAGTCGTAGACCCCCAACAAAAAAAATAAAAACCATCCATTTGACATTCTTCATGTAAGATGGAGAGATACGACATTCCATCGGAAGACATGTTTCTATTGAAAATTGGTTTAATAACCATGTTTAAAAAAAAAACCACTAACAAGAAGAAGTAGACTTACCATGGACAGGAATTCAGATCTAGCTTTCATGTACTAAAACCAAATTCCAAAATGTGAACTTGAAAAGACAGAAGCACAGGATATCAAACATGTACCCAACAGAGGAATTCCCTTAGTGGAAAAGAAAGTCAGAGTCAAGTTCTGCATGTAACACTACCACATATGGGATCATAAAGAATCCATGACAGGCAAAACTTTCCAGAGCTTCTTGCAAAGAAGGTCTTTAATGGTACAGTAGCGAAACAATGTGAAAAATGTGCTGGCATGCTGCGATTGAATATAGTAGTACCAGAGTTGTAGATGAAGCCTCCTTGGCTCCTTCCATTCTCTGTTCACTACTAAAAACTAAAGACACCAACCTTCAAGAACACTCTTAATGGAAAAAGGCTTCCACATCTCAATTTCTAAAATTTGCTCCAGTAAGACTGTAAGAGAAAACTTTCAAAACAAGATTACAGTAGAGATGATAGCAATCCTAATTATGCGTTTGATTTACTCTTAGATTTAGGATGCTCAAACTGCATGAAAATGGTGTTTATGACCCAAACAAGCATATGAAGATTTACAATAGAAGTGTTGGTATATTATTATCCTTTGAATCATTGTTGAGACAAAGAAAGAAAACTACTGGTGTGAATAAAAAGTTTTACAAATCCAATATTTTTAAGGCAGGATACATATATTTATAAAAAGAGACTAATTAAGTTTAACTGTCAAGTACATGTCAATGGGTACACAGAATGTAAGTGCAAGATGTAGTTGGATGTATAGCAAGACAGATTAATAAAGCAGTTTTTGAAATATGATCCATCTATGTCACACTAGACGATATATTCCTATTAGACCCAAAGAAATTATAAATAATCATGTATTGCTCAAGAAGACACTTACGGTCGAACGACATATTTCGTTTTCCCTTCATCATTTTGCCCTGTAGGAGCTCTACAAAGAAGCATGATTGTTCAGAATATGCTTGCAAAGAATTAAAAGGCCTCACAACGCAAGAAAAAACTCATTCTAAAATGATACAACCTGGAGGCGCTACAGGTCATTGAGTAGATCTTACACTTTGGAATTGAAAAATGTACCTTGTGAGGAGGCAAGAAGCAATGTGAAGACCTAACACGGCTTCAGAATCGAATGAGAACCTACAGTTTCAGAACATCAATTATATGACATTACAAGAAAGTATTCAACACTTTTATAAATCAAAAGCAAAAGAAACTTCAACAAGCATTAAACAGGAGTATAACCTGTAGAGCTTCGTATTATGGTTGACAGTTGCAGTTTCCTGCAGTTTGAACTCAAGCCACTTATCTGGATTCAGTGTTGGAACTTACACAAGTTTTTCAGTCAAGAGATAGATAGAGCTAGGAGAAATGGAGAACAATCATTGTAAAAATAAAATGAATTATCAATTAAGGTTGGTGCAGAATCAACAAAAAAAATAAAATCCTTTCCACATCCTGATCATCCTCTTTTTGTCAGA